CCTTACCTTGATCCCAACCCCAATCTAGGACCAAAGATTCAATCCTGATTTGAGACTCGAGATCTAACTCCGACCTCGACCTTGATTTGGGACTTGAGATTCGACACCCACCTCCATATAACTACCAATACTCGATATTGAACCTTGTTCTGAGGCCCACTACACAAGATTCGACCCCACTCGAGGCTCAAACCTGACCCTAGTCATGGATTTGAGACTTGATTTGGACCTTGACTTGAGATCGAAGACCCAATCTGATATGAGATCTAATCCTAATGGATATGATGAAAAATATTTTGGCAAAATATGTGATTTAATCATGACAGAAAACGAGTTGAAATTGAGAATAAAGCTAGGTTGACAATCATTTTAAAATGAGTAATGCATGGATGGGTCCAAATTTATTCAATTTCGAATTATCTTTAGCCCAACCCATGAAAATCTAAACATATTGGGTGGGTCCATTAGGTTTAGTCAATTGTAAGTTATGTTTATCTCCATAACTTGTATTTAATAATGTTTAACATATTGATAACTATTTAATTTTTCCAACTAGTTTCATTTAGACATTCGAACTACGATTTGTTTCAAGTAAATATTTGAAGTTCCTATTATACATTATAGATTCATGTTTTGAAAACACTTTGTGTTTGTTCTCAAGTGTTTATTACATAAATTAGTCAACCACATAAAATTTATCATCTCTTTTAATCATACATATCATTGTCAATTTGGAACAAATTAACACGAAGCTTTATGACTTATTGATGCTAATTAAATAATTAAAGGAGGTGACATATTTTAAATGGGAAAAATGCATAAGTACCCCCCCCCCCCCCCCTCCAACCTATCCCCGAAATCTCAGAGACATACTTATATTATACGAAGGTCTTATTACTCCCCTGAACTTATTTTATAAATAATTTTCTACCCTTTTTCGACCTACGTGGCACTATCTTCTAGGCTCAGCGCGTGTTGACAGTTTTTTCAAGCTATCTGGTTGATAGTGTCATATAGGCCGAAAAGGGGTAGAAAATTATTTATAAAATAAGTTCGGGGATAATAGGACCTTAGTATAGTATAAGTGTGTCTCTGAAATTTTGGGCATATGTTGGCGGTACTTATGCATTTACCCTATTTTAAATAGTTAACTTGTCACGTAATGAGCATTTGAGAATGTTCACAATTTTTCTTAGAAAATTTAAACCGTAAGTGTTTGATCGACTATTGTCAAGGACTGCATGTTTTGTTCTAATGAGGTTTAAGGGAAAATGGGTCAGGAGCAGGGTGTGTTCAATATATAGATGAATTTTATTTAAATCTAAATTAAAAATGTGACAAATCAAATTATCATAATAGGTCACATACTATTTTAAAGAGCAAAATTTGAATTCAGTTGTTTGAGGGGTATTCTTTAAGCCAAAAATTAAAGATTAAAATATTGTTCGATCTAAAAGTTGAAGGACGTTATTTATGCCCCTAAAATTTCAAATCGTAAGCATAATAAGAATATGTATTTCTCATGAGTATTATTAATCATACCTCACAATAATCCCTTCGATTAATTGAGAAACTTCCAATATTGTTTTGAAAAAGAATCAATACAATAATCACTACATAGAGACATTATGAAATACACTATAATAATTAAATTTATATTTCAAAATACTATAAAAATCTAATTTCTTTTTTTTTGCATTACAATATGGTAGGACACAAACACTTAGGGTGTGTTTGGTATGAAGGAAAATATTTTTCAATTTTCTCATGTTTGGTTGGGTTAAATGTTTTAGAAAATGTTTTTCAAATCAACTCATTTTCCTCAAATTTAAGGAAAATGACTTTCCTTCAAAACTTAAGGAAAACATTTTCCAAAACTCTTTTCCAACTTCAAATTACAATTTTTTTGTTGAAAAAATCAGTTTATTTTGTCCCTACCCTCAAACTAATCCCCAACCACCCCCCACCCCACCCACCCCAAAATTTTTTTAAAGTTTACTTTTTAAAAATATTTTTAATTTCAATTTTTTTACCCCACCCTCACTTCTACCCCCAGCCCCATACCACCCCCCCAATATATATATATATATATATATATATATATATATATATATATTAAAAGTTGTTTTTAAAAGATATTTCTAATTTCAATTTTTTATTTTTTTACCCCCTACCCTCGCCCCCACTCCCTTCAAAAAAAAATTTAAGTTTGTTTTAAAAAATAATTTTCTACTTCAAATTTTTATTTTTTTCACCCCTACCCTCGACTCTCCCCCCGCCAGCACCCCCACCCCACCCCCAAAAAAAAATTTAAGTTTGTTTTTAAAAAATATTTTCAACGTCAAAATTTTATTTTTTTCACCTCGATCCTCGACCCCTCCCCCAAAAAAAAATTAAGTTTGTTTTTGAAAAAAAATTCAACTTCAAATTTTATTTTTTCACCTCGATCCTCGCCCCCCCTACCAACCCCCCCCCCCCCCCCCCCCAAAAAAAAATTAATTTTATTTTTAAAAAATATTTTCAACTTCAATTTTTTATTTTTTTACCCCTACCCTCGACCCCCCTCACCCCACCAGCCCCACCCCCAACCCCCCGAAAAAAAATTAAGTTTGTTTTTAAAAAATATTTTTCAATTTTAAAAATCATTTTCTACTCTAGTAAAAATAAAAGATATTTCTCAAAAACATTTTTCATTCATAAATCAAACACTAAAAATCTTTTCCGGAAATATTTTCTATTCACCAACCAAAAATGAGAAAATAAGTCAAAAATCTACTTGTTTTCAAGGAAAACATTTTCCTTCATACCAAACACACCCTTAAGTTAAAATAACCAAAAAAAAAAAAAAAAGAGACACAAAATTAGGGGAAATAACATCATACAAATTCACATTATAAAGGAAAATTTGAAATAAATAGAAGAGAAAAAAAGAGTTGAAAATGTTCACCTAGGTTGTTGAAAAGAATCATTAATGAATTATGAAAAAAATGAGTAAAGGCAAAGGTAAGAGTTGGCGAAGGGAATTAGGCAGATAAATGAATTATGAAAAGGTTAACAATTGAAGCTTATCAAGAAATGAGAAATTGTAAGTTGTAATATCTGATTGTGTATTTAATTTAATTTAATTGTTATTATTAATTTAATTTTATTAGTTAGTTAAAGGCATTTTTAATTAAAAAAATTAGTGAAGAATATTTTCGTAATTTAATTTTGAACTTAGAATCTTTCCATTTTAGATATATCAATTACTCCCTCCGTCTCATTTTATATATCATCCCTTTCTATAAATAGTTAGTCCATAATACTTGTCATTTCATAAAATCAATGCATAAATTACCATATTGTTCCTTTTTTACCCTTGTGAGTTATTAGCCTTGGAAATATACATTTGACCAACTTAGAAAAGCTAAGTAAATTATTCATGTTCATTGGTTAAATTAATTAATCAAATAAATTAATTCATATTCATTGATTGAAAATTTGAGTTCCAAAATTATCAAATAAGGGTAGAAGGGTAAAGTTATATCATTTCTTAATGCAAGTGCAAAGTAAAAATGTGACATATAAAATGGGACGGAGGAATTATTATTTTCTTAATAAATGTGTTAAGTAAAAAATGGACAAGTAAATAAGGACAGAAAGAGAATGACAATTCATTTATATAGTATGTTTGGTCAATCTTCTGAAAAGTCGAAAGTATTTTTATTTTTTAATTTATTATTTAAAAAAAGTTAAGATGTTTGGCCAAACTTTTAGAGAAAATAATAAATATTTTTCCCATAGGTACTTTTTAAATATTGATAAGCACATAATATTATTTTAATATTAATAAAAGTTTTTTTTCTAATTGATTAGTGAAAAATTTTAAAGCTAGATCCTAGGTTGCATGTACGCTTTCTACACGTGCACATTGGGATCTGATTAAAATTAGGCAAATTTTCCTATAAGACATAATACATAAATATGTCATATAATTTGACTTTAGCTAAAAAATATATATATAATTTTTCTTAAGCTAATTAGATACATAAAGTTGATGGACATATTTACAATTTGAAGTCAAATTAAAAAATATATTTATCTATCATCGTCTTTCGATAATTATCAACAATTTTGAATGAGCAAATGTGGAAAGACAACTAGTTAGGCTAACTCGTATTTTATCTAGGAATATCAATATTTTTATCGATTGAATATGAGTTGAAACTCAAATTTTACTTATCTAAACATCATTCTTTCAATCCACTTAAATATAGGCAAATTGACTGAGTTAACAAAATATGGCCTCATTTTTCTAGTACTAATTCCAATTAACATCAGATGAAAATAAAATATTTCTGAGATACCTCTTTTATATTCGACAAACAACAAATTGCCTATCTGATTGCCGTTTGATCAGTTAATATTTTTTTTCTACTTTTTTTCTTTAAAAAATAATTCTTATAATATTGTTCGGCAATCATTAATTTTGTCCTAATTCACAGGACATGGTCTTTGCTTAGGCAATGTAACGGGACAATATCACACCAACAAAAATAATTTTTAGCGACAATAAATATACATATTAATAAGAGTGCTAAAGCCTTTAATTACCGGCATTAGTTAATTGTCATTAGATCAAAAGTCGCTATAAGGCTTAGAAACATTTTAAAAGAGTGTTAATTATCGCAAAAAATATATATTTAACTAGAATTAAGTTATTATCGTTAATTAATTACCACTAAAGATAATTTTTAATGTAGTTTAACATTATACAGACTCCTCATTAAATTAATATAATTTTGTTTAATGTTCTAAAAAATGTATCAATGCCGGCCTTGATGTCTATTTTTATTTTTATAATCATGATGAAGACATATTGGATATATGTTTATGTCTAGTTGACCGTTTCTAAATAGCATACAATATAGTTCCATTATATAAATAGGTGCACAACTAACACGAATATTACTCAAGTTTTAATATAACTTAACAACTAAAAAGCTCTGCGTCGAATCGAAATGGTGGATATTCAAGGCTACTTGATATTATTCCTTATTTGGCTATTTTCTACCTTATTTCTTAAATATGTTGTGTTTCGTAAACGGAACACATGTCACCTTCCACCAAGCCCATTTGGTTTACCAATCATCGGTCACTTACACCTCCTATCTCCTATTCCCCACCAAGCACTTCACAAGCTCTCAACTCGTTATGGGCCTTTGATCCATATAAATCTTGGATCCGTCCCTTGTCTAGTAGTTTCATCACCCGAAATGGCTAAAGAAGTACTCAAAACACATGAAACTTCCTTTCTAAATCGACCACAAACATCAGTAGTTGATTACTTAACTTATGGTTCACAAGACTTTTCCTTTGCGCCTTACGGTGTTTACTGGAAGTTCATGAAGAAAATATGCATGTCCGAGCTCCTTGGAGCTCGAACATTAGACATGCTTTTACCAGTAAGACGCGATGAAATAAAGTGTTTTATTGAATTTCTCTTACAAAAAGCGGAGTCTAGTGAAGAGGTAGATGTTGAAGCTGAGCTTCTAAGGGTTTCAAATAATGTTATTTCGAGAATGTTAATGAACGAAAGGTGTTCGGAGGACAAAGATGAAGCCGGGAGTGTTAGGATGTTGGTTCAAGATATCGCGGAACTTACTGGGAAATTTAATCTTTCGGATTATATTTGGTTTTGTAAGAACTTGGATTTGCAAGGGTTTGGAAAAAGGACTAAAGATGTACGTAAAAGGTTCGATGAAATGATGGAGAGGATTATGAATGAACATGAAGAAGCAAGAAGGAAGAGAAATGGTGAAAACAAGGATGGAGATGAAAGTGTAGTGATCAAAGATTTGCTTGATATTTTACTTGATATATCGGAGGATGAATGCGCGGAGATGAGATTGACAAGAGAGAACATCAAAGCCTTTATCCTGGTAAGTGAAAAATCTTATGAGAAAACATTACAGTTAAAGAACTATATATAGTTGCGCAATATTTGAAGTAGAGACAAAATCTATATTGTACAGGACATATTTGCTGCTGGCACGGATACTGCGGCTATCACAGTAGAGTGGGCACTAGCAGAACTCATCAACCATCCAAGCATTATGCAGAAAGCAGTTCAAGAAATTGATTTTGTCATAGGTAAAAGTCGAATTGTCGAAGAATCGGATATCTTGAATCTTCCTTACCTTCAAGCTATCGTTAAAGAAACTCTCAGACTACACCCTACGGGGCCTATGATCCTCCGAGAATCAACGGAAGATTGTTGCATTGGAGGTTATCACATACCGAAAAACACTAGGTTGATAGTCAATACATGGGCGATTAACAGAGATCCTGAGTATTGGGAAAATCCACTTGAATTTATACCTGAGAGATTTTTGACTGAAGAGGAGGAGGGGAACACGAAATCCCAATTGGATGTGAGGGGACAACACTATCATTTTTTGCCATTTGGCACGGGGAGAAGAGGTTGCCCCGGAACATCATTAGCATTACAAGTAGTTCAAATAAGCCTTGCTTCGATGATACAGTGCTTCGAATGGAAGGTTAGTGGTGGAGAGGTAAGTAAAGTCGATATGGAAGAGGCACCTGGCATTACCCTTCCTAGAGCTAATCCTTTGGTTTGTGTTCCAGTGACTAGGTTTAATCCATTCACATCAACATCAACAACAACATCCGCTTAGATCTATTATTAACGATGTACCGTCCCTTATGAACATTTTAATATCTTGTTTTTCTTATGTACCCAAAAATAAGCGAGACCCTAATATTTTTGGAAATATATATTAGTATGATGAAAAATACAACTTAAAATGTTGATCAAAGTTCATACAGTTTGACTCTCGAAAAGTTAAATGTGACAAGTAAAAGAAAACAAAAGGGGGTTTTAGTTCGAGTCATTTTCCCTCGAACAACAATATAATTAAAGAGTACGATATCTAGGCAACAACATGTAGTTGGACCAATAGTCGATTAACAAAAGCCATGAATATAGCAACAAAGAGAGTAAACTTAGAATATAATGGCTGTCAACTGCGAATATGGACAGAAGTTTGTGCAATTGAACCACATATACTTTTGGCTTTAAAAAAAACTCCCTTACCCACCAGCACCAGGTAGCAAACATAGAACAACAGGACGTTCTGCGATACACACAATTACATTGACACGATAGTTGATAAACAAGGTATAAGAAATAATAAAACGCGATGGGTGATTGGAAATTCTTTATCAGCTGCTGCCGCCCCCAAAGAGATACCCCAGAGAAGATCCACCACCAGGGGCTGCATGTACTTTGGTAGATGGCCGGTCCTATAACAAGCCAATAACCCTAGTTAAAACCACATAATTCTTCCATAACAAAGGATACTATAGACTTAAAGCAAGAAAAAGGTCTATCTTATCAAAGAACTACTCCATCGTAATTCAATGGTGAGAGTTGAAAACCAATTAGTTTTTCTAACACAAGAAGTTGTATCCTCAACAAATCCTTAAGAAATCGGTTGCAAGGAACAATCACTAAAATCCCAATCTAACAGAATGTAAAGATATGACACTTGAGTCTAACTCAACCCAAAAGCTAGCTCATGAGATGAGGATTACTCAAGTCCACACAGCCTTGGTTTTGTTATTACGTCAATAGAGTGTGCTTGCAGCTTATCAATGTATCATAAGCCGAAACACATTGCAAATAGCAACAACATAAGATCCACACAGACCAAATAGCAACGACATAAGATCCACACAGACCTCTATCTATAGATAATTTATCATTTGGTCGAAATGTGTTCAAGAAACTCATAACACAAAAGATGGTATATGTTGATTATCTTGTCCTCATTTCATTGTTGGAATCAACAAGTGGCTAGACGTAAATCCAATGATCCATCCACTATAAATTTGACGGATCAGATTGTCAGCCAGATTCATATGTTTAGATGGTTTGTGTAATGGCCCATTCATATGTTTGACCCAAAGGGTTAAACCCAAACTGACCCTCAATATATTGGGTCCAAAATGGGTCAAAGTAGTGTAACCTGCTGGGTTAAATACAACACGTACCAGCAGGTTACCTGTTTCTGAAACTACATTGGAGAATTGGCTGGTCCGTGAAAGGAAATTTAAAATGGGCTTATTGACACAAACCGATAGTAGGAAGAGGACAAACAAACAAAGCTGTATTCAATAGTTCCCATAAGAAAACAAACAGCAATCATACAATCTGTGCCCTCAATTTCTTGCCTTCAAATGCAACACACAATATATTAAGTTAATGATTAACTTAAAATAAATACGTTAATTACAAAATTAAAGTTCATAAAGGAATAATATTAGAATGCAACATCATATGGGGTTGTACACATTCCTTGCACAACAAAAGAAAACAACAGTGATAGACATCAATGAATCGGTTCTGTACTCCACAACGATACTAATAATATCCACAAAAATATAGTGTGTTGTGGCAGTGTTAACAAATCCATGCATTGCTAAAACATACAAAATATAGTACTCCACCTTAGAAGCTTTGGCTAAAACGCCTCAACTATGTGATATAAGCACTTTCTTTAAGCACATCTAGTTTCCCAAAAACTTGACCGAACAAGCTATTAATAATTAGAAAGTGGGGACTTGTGGAGATGTCTTAATTTCACCTTAGCTTAGTTGTTATTGCTAATTGTTTTGGCATTACAAGAAACCTTATATTTACTACACAATCAAATTGCATACTATTTGTGCTCCAAGTTCTCCCCTATTCCCTTTTGCTTAGCAACGAAAAAACCTCTCCAACAAAGCATAGCAATGAATTTTTCAAGCATTTCGGAGTACATTATAATAATCTTGCATAAGTACATACCGTGATAAAGTTTCCTGTGTTTTGACCATCTGCCCTGATACTTTGAATACCTGCTGGAATCTGCTTAGTAGCATCAGCAGGAGGAGAAGGAGCAGCAGCAGGCTTTGAAGATGGCTCTTCATTTATCGGCTGAGCTTCACTTCGAACTGCCTGGGGGTTTGTTTTGGTTGACGTTGGAGCCTCACCATCCCCAAACAAGTATCCTAATGAACTCTGTCCTCCTCCACTACTAACTCCACGACCCATATCTTTGCTTCTTTCCCGTTAGATCCACTAATACCCTGAGTCAATCCAGACGATAAAAACAAAACATAAATATCAAGGATAACGTTGTGATTCTCAAAGAAGCACATAGAAAACGAAAAGAAGCATAACACAAGGAGAACTAGTACAAGCAAAGAAATTCCACTAATACCCTGAGTCAATCCAGATGATAAAAACAAAACATAAATATCAAGGATAACATTGTGATTCTCAAAGAAGCACATAGAAAACGAAAAGAAGCATAACACAAGGAGAACTAGTACAAGCAAAGAAATAAAGCACACCAATAAATATGACAATGTTGTATAGAACTGATCAATATATCACAAAGAAAAAGCATAAGAGAAATTACAAATTTAACTGCAACCATATAAAACTCAAACCGTCATGCTGATTACTGGCTTCGGAAGTCCACATGCATCTAAATATCATCTAGATGGAATCAACTATAAGAATCATTTGTATCTGTTCCTCTATTGTACAGGAAGCCACCAAATTCCATCAGACCCCCTTGAAAACTACTCTACAACCATTGCCAAGTTACATTTCGAAGCAATATTCTTTAGTCGTACACCCCTCTAGCGGTCAATTGAATTCCAGTACAGACAAAAACACTAGGTGATTTCTTCTTATCTGTCCTAGCTTTAGTGAACAGAATTACTTGGTATATGTTGCTAGTGGGAGGTCGCATGTATCATATGGAATTAGTCCAGGTGCGCCCAAACTGGTTCGAACACTAAGGTCATAAGAAATAAAAAAAACTGACACTACTTTTACTGTTATCATCAATAGTTAATTCAAACTTATAGGATTCAAATAAGCTAGAATTAATACCTTCACACAATCTGATACAAAAGCTTCTTTAATTGTTCATTGAAGAGAATCAAAACTACTGTACACAACCATTTTTTATCACAAAAAAAATAAAAATAATTCAAAGTCTTACAAGCAAACAGAAAAAAAATGCCATAAAATCCCCAAAAAAGATGAGAAAACGATAGCTTAGCTAAGTGATTTTCCCCAAAAAAACACAAGAAATTCAATAGGTATAAACGAGGATAGAGAATTAGGGTTTTAAAATTTGGGAGTCACCTTTTTTTTTCCCCGTATTGATTAATGATGAATGAAGATGTGAATGTGGACAGGGGAAGTAAATGAATGAAGAAAGTGTGTAATATATAGTCACGCATTTTATAATTGCTCTTTCACCGACAATAAATTGGGGAGTAATAATTAGGGGTATTCGGTATTCCGTTCATTTTCTCAAATTTTGGGTTTGATAATTTGGTAGTTTTAGTTAAAAATAGATATTAAATATCAAATTTTTAAATTTTAATTTGGTGATTTGAAAAACGATAAATTAAACTTTGGTTTGATACGATATTCGGTAATACCATATTGAAGTTATAACAATTGTATTACAAAGTTAATACTATTTCTCCAATCATTTCTATTTTTTTTATGTGGACGCACGATATAATAGAAGATCAACAAGTAAGAAGACATCAAGAAAAACAAATTGATACAACTAAAAGACATGTATTTGAATTATTCATGCTTATTCTTTAATTTTTTCTTTGGACTTATACTAATGAGTAATTGATATGTTGATATATGACCTTCATTAAGTAAATAATTTGATATTCGGGAAATACCGAATACTAAATGGTACTTATGTCTCATACCAAACCCAAATTCGAATACCATAATTCTAAAATCTTACTCTCGAATATCATACCAAATACTGAAGTACCAAATATCAAATACCAAATAATCAAAAATTTGATCCGGTTCGATAATTCGATTTTTGATATTTTATGTTCAGCCCTAGTAATAATGTCACATTGTAACTTGTTAGCAAATGAGCAATTAGGACGAGTGATAAGTATTCATTTATTCTTTTAATTAAACGATTTGAGTTTGAATTTTGAGTATGAATTTATCTTTATTATATTTTTTGTTTTATATTATTTGATCCCTTTTAAATTGGCACTTTGTTTAATATTTAAATTAAGAATATATTTCACTAAACTAACCTTATTAACAGTGTTTTGAAATGTTAAATTTAATTACTAAGTCTGAAGCAACATCAAAATTTAAAGTTTATGGGTTGGAGATTCTAAGTCTCGTAAGTTGCTCAGTTTTTAATTAATAATTTGTGCATATTCAATGGCTTCTTGCTATATGCTTAGAGAGTGTTTTTTTTCCGGCAGTTTAGTGAATTTTTTATTACAAACTCGGAATTTGAATTAAAGTTATTGACTTTGACCAAACTTGTAATCAACACATTCAATCCGTGTTTGTTTAACAGTAGTATAAAAAAAATCTTTTTTAACATAAAAAATAATGAGGAAAATAAACAGTAAAAATACTTCATCTCACTTTTTAAAATAAATTTAAATTTTAATCGGACCTCGATATAAATATAAGACAATAAAATGGATGAGATGCAATGAAAAGCTTGTTAACAAATGGGTGGGCGTTGAAATAAAAGGTTTCTGAGGTGCTTCTTCTTTTTTGAAAAAAAGGAATAACAGAGGAAAAAATAAGAAAAGGATTGATTAATAAAACTATAAAATCATATTGATATTATTGTTCTTAAGCTTATAATCAAAGATAAAGAGTTGCAATCACGTAAGTTAGTAGTGGGAATGCATCACTCTTTTTGTTTATTTTATACTAAAAGAAATAAAAGGTATTTTAATTTTATATGGAAAAGGGTTTAACATATTCATAAAGATTATGTTAAATTGAACAAAAATACCATCTGTTAATAATTTAGTTTTAAAATATCTTTTTCATTAATGTTTGGTTCAAAATGTTCTTATTATTACTTAATTGGGTCAAAAATATCTTTTTTCTAATAAACATATTCTTTTCGTCTCAATTTATGTGACACTTTTCAAATTACGAGATTCAAACAAGTCTATCTTTGACCGTAGATTTTTCATACATCTTTTAAATATTTTGAATTATCAATTATTGTGACTTATAGTATATTTTACGTAGTTTATAAATATATAAATTTTATTTCTAAAAATTTGAAGATTCCATGCGTAAATTGTCGATCAAACTTAAATTGTTTGACTTTCAAAAAAATGAAAAGTGTCCATATAAACTGAGATAGAGGGAGTATTATTTTTAAGGAATCCTATTCTTATTTCTTTGCCTTTAAAATCTCTTGAACAAATACAAAAGTTGGAAGTAATCTTTTTTTCTTTTTAATATTATTTTGTCAATTAAAATTGAATAACTCATGTACTTTTTAATCGATAATATAGGTCATAGTCTATACAAGATCAGAGTACCTCATCATATTATTTTCATTTACATATCAATAAAATTCTTTTTTCTGATAAAATATTTTTTTTTATTTTTAAATATTTTGAATTGAAATAGGATAAATATTTGTTAATGGTAATCATTGGTCTTACAGTTAAGACCCAACAATCATAATAACATAAAATACGGAATTTATTGCATTGCTTCGCATTATAAAATATCTTTAAAATATCGTTGATGGAGTTATTGTTGACCCTTTTTCATTTTAACGGTAAAATAAAAAATTATATTAGCAAATGTTTATCCTAAAAAAAAATATTGTTTGTGTTATTTGATTATTTTTTTTTACCATTATTTAAATAAAAATAATGATGGATTATTATAATCTTGTATGTATGGCTTGTATTATTAGTTAAAGGTACACGATTTATCTATTTTAATTGATAACATGAGATTAAGTTGGAAAAAAAACTTCCAACTATTTTACTAGCTAGCCAGATTTAAAAACTTTTTACAAAACTTTAAAAATAGTATTCTTATGAGGAAAAGAAAGTGTTTATATAGAAAAAAATTGGACAGATGCCACCGAATCGGATGTGAGCAAATTCCAGAAATCCGCTCTTAGGGTTCGAGAATCCAAGCGCTGGCAAGTCAGCTAGCGAACTCATTAAAGAAAAAAATATATTTTTAACCTTATTAATGAAAGATATTTTTGTTTAATTTTACATAATTTAAAGATATTATTGACTCTTTTCCGATTAAAATAAGGATGATAAGGACAAATAATTTGTGATAAAAGTCAAGAATATTGTTATTTGCAAGTTTTTTTCCACTCATTGGTCTTGTTCATTCTTTCTAGGATAAATTCATGATGGTTATGTTAAAGTGTGTGTACGAGAGTTATCCGAATTTTCACCTTATTAATAAGAATCTGATTTTTCGCTGCCTCGTAATCTTCTTCCCATTCCCCCAATTTAAAAAAGAAACACTTGGTTACCATTACCATTCTTGATTGATGGGACTATCATAAACTCCCTCCGTTCACTTTTACTTGTCACTTATTTCTGAAATATATTTTTATTTTTATTTGTCACTTTTGACATACCAAGAAAAGACAATTTTTTTTTTCATGTTTTACCCTTAACATTAAATATTATTCTCCATATCATTTTTCAAGATCCAATATTAAACATTTATTAGTAGAGATAGTATGATAAAATACTTATATCATTAATTGTTTTTAATAGATGTGTCAATTTAAACAAGTGACAAATAAAAGTGAACGGAAAGAGTATTTGTCATGATTGCATGCATTATTAGATGTAACTCTCAAAAATTTCCCGTCACTGAAACCATACAAATTGAACAATCCAAAAAGTTTAGAGAAAAGAGATCAACATCAAATCAGATTTTCGAAAATTGAAAGCACATACTATAATGATTTTTAGAAAAATAATTTTAGAAACAGAAAAGAAATAAATCACCTTTGATAGTGTAATCACTCTCAAAATGTGCTTGTTTTCCCCTAGATCTAGTGATTGGTGAATCACCGATAAAAGAGCAAATTTTCGAGAAATAGCTTGTTGTCATGGATGTTATTACTAGTAGTAGTTTAGCATAATATATAAATATGTTTTTTAATTTGATTTCAGCTAGTATCTATGTCCTTTAACTCTGTCTATATACAAGTAGACACTTAAGCTTGTATAAAATTGAATAAGTAAACACATCGTCTCCTACGTTTTAACTCACGTATAGTC